GGGAGGGAGACCTAGATGCCATCATGCTTTGAAAGAGCTTCCGGTCAGAACAAGATGGAGAATGTTTGCTGAGTAGACCTTCTATACTGTAAATAAATAAAGCATCTTTCTGCTGTGTAGTTGCCACAGTGCTCCGCATTACATTGCATTGTGCTGCCACTGTCGGTTCTTCTAACTTCTTCTGTGAGCATTCTGTGCCAGTGATGTATAGAAGTGCATAGGCAGTGGTGAAGACTTTGTGTGTGACAGTCAGCCATCCGTGCATCCTCATTCTCTCTTCTACCCATCTGGCAATTCACATTGCTTGTGAACATCATTGGTTGTTCCTTTCCAATTCTCTCTCCAAATACGAGAGAAAAGGGGAGGCTGCTATTTATCTGTTGTGTATCACCCATTATTTTATACGTCTCTGTTACCTGTGTACTGAAGAGGAGGTCCTGTGAGCACCAAAACCAACAAGACAGTTTATCAAGTTGTGTGATGCCTTCTATTCCTCCTTCTTACTTTCCCCCTCTGCTTCCCAGTGTTTTCAGATCCATCTCGCACTAACTATTTGTGCTGTGGCTACTTTGGGGAGACCCATGTGGTGGCACTGGCCTCCTAGAAAGGATATGGGACTGACTTTTACCTGCTTCTGCCTTTTCAGGAGGGTGAGTTTGGGCCTGTTTCCTCTCAAGTGTTGAACAACAGTTCAAGAACTGCATTTTTAAGGACACTACTGCTTTATCACATCTAGTTGAAATTACCTGGACAGTCCAAAAAGACAGAGAGAGAAGGAGAACAACTGGCAGATAGGCAAGATGGTGACACAAACCCTGTTTCTATAGGAAACCAAGCTGTAAAGTACAGCTTTTATATATACTTTTTGTATGGATTGGTGAGCTAAGTGGATCTCTTCAGTCACTGGTTCCTAAATACATACTGACTCTAGCTTTCTCTTTTGCCTGAGCTAGAGTGAACAGTCCTGAACATAATGTGCAAGATGGGGGTACACAGTGAGTGCCTGTTGTTGTGGTATGTATCACCTGCAAGATTGTTTTCTACTCTTGCCTATTCTGTGCTTTGTAATTTTTGCTATGCGATGCCTGGGTGTTTTCCCTGGCCTGTGGGGATCCAGAAAAGCACATTAGGAAGTTAAGTGATCTCTTCCGGTGCACATTCCTTGGCATCTGTCGTCCATGGTTTTTCTCTGCTGTCAGGCTGTGCTGTCACCTAGGTTAAGTCCTTGTGGCTTCTGTAGGGGAAGCAATCTGGACTAAACTGAACTTCTGTGTCGCGCGTGGCATGACCAGCAATCCTTGCGGTTTACCTCAGTCATGTGAGTAATGTGGCCACTATGAACTTGTGATAGTAAAGACTTTACTCATGTTTTGAGAGCACATTAATTGTCTGACTGCTGCATGTTCGTGGATGAAAACTGTATCTGTGCTAGACAGACATACAGAAAAGCACGTTTTTCAGCTGCTGCAATGCTTGCGTCCAGCAGTTTTTGCCAAATACAGTGCACCATGTTCCTTCACCTTTTTTTCCAGTAAGGCTAGTTCCCAGGGGCTTAGGTGAGCTGTTAGGTTTCTGCTTACAGTTGCCTGTAGCTTTGCCAGCCTTTGATAGTTTGGGCTGGTGCTTCTCTCTTCCTCTCATGTTCGCTGCCTTCGGCTGAATGTCTTTGGAAAATTTCAGATGTTTCCAAGAAACAATACATAAGGCAATACATTTTATAGTAATTTAAAAGGAGTTCATCCTACGCTATTGTTTGCCTTTTCTCCCCTTCATGTGAAGGAAGTGATTTCCACTGCTTTCCCTCCTGGAGGAGATTCTGATGGAGCTGTTTACTGCCAGATCAAAGTCTACTTTCGTTTGGCACCAAATCCATGCAGAAATCTGAATTAAATTTTTGTTGAGTGCCACTGTCAGAAAATGTCACATTGTGTTTATGGAGGATATATGATTGCAGAATCCCAGTGCTAGTGGGAATTACTGGCACGACTCTTTCTTTGATCTAAGGAGGTTCTTGGTGGTGTAGCAAGGGATCAGCCTGCCACCATTGAGGTCACCTTGCACATCTTTATTGAGCAGGGCAAACAGACTAGTTTGGAAGGTATGAATGCTGCAATTTGTGAACTATGTGATGCAGGGACCTGTCATCTTCTCATGACCTTGTGATTCATCATCTTACTGGATATGAGGTCAGTCTGTAGTTTGGCATCAGCACACTTAGCTGAATGACACTGGATAGCTCCAATTTCACAGGATCCAGAGAAACGTGCAGCCACATGAAGCCTCCAGCATTTAAAAATGAACCTGTTAAATGTAAGTGTCAATTTTTTCCCCTTGCTTTCCACCTTTACTATTTTACTAAAATAAAGAACAGAGCAACATTGTATCTGCTACCACTGAAATGCTTCAGCACCATGTCACAAGCCCTTCTGGAGTGACTGCTGCTCCGGTCCCTTGGGTGAGAGCAAGGCTGTATTCTCTGCGGACCCCTGTGAATCAGCATCTTTGAATGGGCCAGCCTGTAGCTTTCCCTGTTGCATATGATTACGTTAGTGCAGGTGTTGTTGAAGTGAATGCCTGTTGCGGTTTTGGAGCTTCAAAATGTCATTCTTGTTTTAAAGACCTGCCGTAGGAGGATGTAGAGTAGGTGGACAGGTTGCACCACATCATGGCCCTTAGCCCGTTCCTGGAGCTCCCAAGCTCTAAGATATCGGGGAACAGGACACTGTTCGCAGGTTGCTGGCAGGAATGAGCTTCAAGAGTGAACTCCACACTGCATTAAGCTGATAGTGCAGATATACCCAGGATGACTTTATTTCCCACTGCCGTCAACTGACACAGTTGCACAGCTTTGCAAAGAGCCTGTTCCCATACTATTCTGATTTGAAACCACTCCATATCTGTTTTATTCAGCCCTCTGATTGCGGTTCTGTCTCTACCTTCAGTGTCTTACTCTACGTTTACTTTCTGAAGCTGATCCTAGTCCTGATTCACTATTGAGGCTAGTGAAGTGAATCCTTGCAAAGAGGTGAGGGGAGAAAGATTGCAGTGTAAAGGCCTGAAGTTTCCAGTGTTATGTATGTGATTGATGGCTTTTGAAAGTTATTTACTTGGAGTGTGTTTGCAGAGATCATGGTCTGAACTGCTGATCTGTTAGGAGGGAGGGTGAGCTGCTGCTTTGGAACACAACTGTGTCATGGCTGGCCACAACTGAAGCAGGGATGGCAGGAAGCCAGTGGGTGACTGTGGGGGAGGTTGGTTTGTGCTACAGGATTCTGTGCCCCTTGAGGGGCTGCTGGCCTCCTTCCTCCTTCTGACTTGCTGTAGGAAAGGGAGCCTATTTAAACGACTTTGGTAATAGAAGTTAGGCAAATGGACTGTTCTGGATTAAAAAAAGAACCTTAAATAGAAGTATTATCTGTGTTTGATGCTGTTTAATAGGTGTTTTTTCCTGCTAAGTGTAAATCTTCGTGGGTCCTGGTAGCTCTTCAGTAGCATTTACAAGCTAATGAGCTGCTAATTATCAGCCCTGCCTAGGCTAATTAGCTCTGTTAAGGGTGTATTAATGTAGGCAGAGCTCTGAGCTAATGCAGTTTTGCTGCTTCTAGGACTTGAGCTGATGTGGTCAAAACTGGGATGTAGATCTCTGACTTGGGGCTGTTCTGCATGTACAGGCTCTAGGTACTGTGATTTCTCATAGTAGCTGTGAACGCTTTCTCCCGCTAGCACAAATGCCCAGTCTCCGGATCCCAAGAACTTTTGACTGATTTCCCCAGCTTAAACATACCTACCGTGCACTTGCCTCAGCCATGGCAGCACTGTGGATGGAGCTTCAAGAGGGAGAGGTTAGAAGGCAGCAAGCTTGGTGCGACAAAAGTCGGTAATGAGACACCCCCTTACCGCACCACAGGGAACAGAAACTCCCCTTCCTTCCTCCTCACAGGCGTGAGCTCAGGTGGGTCAATACAGCTCTTCAATAGTTCTAGCCCTAAAGCCCTCCGCTATGCTTACGTTTTGCCCAGTGGGTCAACAGCTGGGAAGTAAAGATCTGCAGATTTGTGATGGTGCAGGATATGGTACGTTTTGTTTTGCTGGTAGGGTGCATTGTCTGTCTGGGGCTAGGGTTGCCACATGGTTTCACTTAGGTTCCCAGTGATATTCTAGAGAGAAACTCTCTGTGCAGCACTCTGCAGCAGCTTAATAGCATTGATTTTTTAGGCAAATATTACAGTACTGTTTATGCAGACAAGTAGGCAAAGTAGCTGCTGTAAAACTCATGTTGGTTTCCTAAAATTGGGAGCACAAGCAATCCGGAAGAAAAAGGCAACCTGTTTGAGGCTGGTTGGCCTATTTTACTAACCCTTCATTTCTCAACTTTTTCGTACAGCTGCATGGGAACCTATACTAAGCATTCCCTAGGTGGCTGCATTTGTGATGTTAGTCAGTACCGCCTCTCAGCGCAGCTTTCTGAAGCTTGGTTAATAAATGGCATCACTTTGGTTCCCCTTTATCTGGTGTCCCATCCTGCTCTCTGCAGGTTCCAGTTCAAGAAGTGATAATACCCAGAGTTCACACACAGTGAACAGCAGAAACACCAAAGGGATTCTTCATACACAGTAATGTTGGTGCCAGAGGAAGAAGAAGGTAGAATTAAGGGGACTGACTGTGAAAGGAGTGATGCAATTAAACATACTTGTCTGGGAAAAGGCCCTTACTGGTGTGATGCTTTACTTTGCTTTGCTTTATAGGTACTCTCCATCACTATGAGCTTATTTCGTAGAGGGTCTGTAGCCCACTTCGTCAGTGGATGTTAAGTCTCCCACCTGAAGACGGGTTGATTCGGTTCCTTTCTACTACTAAGGACTGTTGCTGGTGAATGTATTTGCTCCACCACCTCTAAGTTAATGGTGTGCCAAGGACAGCTGTGAAGCAGCTCTTTCTCTGGATGTTGATGTGGTATCTCAACACATCACGACGCCTCGGGCACACTGGCAGCACAGGATATGGAGGCTCTTGAAGTTGATGACATTAGCCCTGCCTTGGAAGTGACTGAAGACTTTTTCAATAGTTTTGATACTAAGCTTGAAAAGACTGTGCAGCCCTCAGAGGTGTACGGTGTACAGGAGGTCCCTGAACTGGTTGGGCATGAGGTATTTGATCAGATAGCAGAGAGCAGGAATCTGAGGAACGCTGCCTCCTTAGCCAAAAGTAGCCTCATCTGGGATCACTGCAAAAATGGCGTCTTGGAAACCAAAGCTCAGACAACTTTCCCTGCCAAAGACCAGCGCATGGTGCAGAGGGGGACAGCTGCTGACACCCGAGCTTGGGCAGGGGAAGGGGAGACCGCAGCTTTTAACATCTTCAATATCTGCCAGCGGAGGAGAGACCGGCCTCGCTCAGTGAATGACATCCTGGTGCAGAATGAGGAAGCCTCAACGTTCAAGCCAGGACACAACAGGTCACGCTCCGATATCAGCCATGTGAACTGGGGAGTTGTCTTCACGGGCACCTCCCTGCAGCAGCCACGTGCGTCTGGTCAGGACAATAACTGCGCTCTGCTGTCTTACCTGGCGTTAACCAAGGGAGAGGACATCCAGGGAAACACAGGTATATGCTGGTGTTCTATTGTTTCTGTTCATATGAGGACTTTCCTATTTGTTTTTCATATTTATCTTGAAAGAGGAACGCATGTTTAAAAAAATGAACAAAATGCCCAAAAAGCAACTGTTCGGTAGTTCTTAGGATAGTAATCATCACGGCTCTGCTGTCTTTGGTGTAGTTCTGTTTGTGTGCCTAAGGATCAGTTTTTAAACCAGTCTTGGCTTCCGTTGCTTTCATGGTTTAAAAAACTAAGCTTGTTTTACTTTTTGCTTCTATTTTGTTTAATTTCATTCAGGAAAAAAAAATTTATTTCTTATGTATTTCTAATCATTTTTTACCTGATTTTTGCAAACTAAACAAACTTTGAATGCTAAAGCTATTGGGAGAATGTCAAATCCAAACAAAGACAGTTTTCACAGAAGTTAAAGAGCGGCTGTTAAAAAGAGGGCATACAAAGCTTTACTGTGAGGCCTGAGATCTCTGCTCTATTTCTTTAAGAAATGCTGGCTGTTCAGTCCATAAACAATTAACAAAAACTCAAGCATGCAATCTGTGCTTGTCAATATTAAGGCATCTCTGCCAGCTTTGTTTGGGGTAGAGGAAGTCTTGTTATCAGATTGAGGGAGGCATCTCCAGTGAGCCGTATGAAGTGATGTTTCAGCAGGTGATACTTTTTCCTTTTCCATTCTGAGGCACTGCACTGGAAGAGGTTGTGTTCAGGACTTTGGAAACACTAACCCAGTGTCTCCACCTCCATGATTTATTTTGTAGATGCCAGAAGTGGACTGGGTACTTATGGTAAAGAAAAGCAGCTAGTGCCACAAAGATCTTATAATCTAAATAAAGCAGGACTTAACAAAGGAATTTAAAAATCAAAGGTTTGTGAAAGCGTGCGTGTGTGCATGTGGTGGAATGACACCAGTTATGAATAGGTAGCCTGTTTAGGCTTAAAACAAGCCTTTTGAGTTAGATTTTCAAGATAAGTCAGCTCTTTTGAAGCATGAAAAGCAGGTGCCTAGATTTTTGTGTTTATGGATATGTGCATATAAAAATATATGTAATCACACACACAGAATCAATACGTAGGTATATGTATGTACATACACAAACTTGTAGGTTAGTGTGTTATATTGTCACATAGTTGCTGTATCCCAAAGAAGGGTGCTCTTGGTTGACAAAAGCAAAGGTACCTGCTGTTATTTTTATTTAGGGAGATATATTGCTTCCTGTAGAGTGCTGTCTCTGTTCTGTGTCCTTCCCGTAGAAGGGATGCAGAACTGGAACGCACCCAAAAGCCTGGAGACAGAGCTCTCAGGTTTTGTTGGCTGTATCCTGGGCATCTTGTGGGTTTAACTTAACATGTAACACCTTTGTATGCCCACAGAAACACCATTAAAATCTATCCATTAAAGGTCAATACATGTCCCCAATAGTATTTTAAGCTTAATGTTTTTGGCTCAATTTCCCTACGCAGCCCTCAGATAAAGGGGTTCTGTTACTTACATTGTTTATAACAAGAAGTACCTAAGCCGTTCTGTATTTAAAGACCTGTTCAGTGAGAGTCATTTCAAACTGCCGCTGGATTCCCAACTTGCAAGAAGCAAGCCACCAGTCCAGCTGGTGCTGGGTAGCAGAGTCTGAGGCTGAACCGATCTCCCTCTGTCAGTCCAGGGCTCAGGCAGCTGCAAGAGGTATGTTGGGGTGCACCTTAATGCATTGCACCTCTGTCTGGAGTGGAGCAAATTGCATTCCCCTCTCCCCTTACACAGCGTGATACAGCTGCTCATAAAAGGAAGCAAAACGGGAGCAATGATGTAGATTTTTCTTCCCCTTCTGGCAAACAAAGAAATTTGTTAGGAACTGCAATGCTGGGACTCTATTGCTTCTGACTGAAGTCAGGGACCGCGTACTGCAGTCGCTCCCCTCTCCTGGGTGGGAGTCTCTGTGCTTTCAGAAGCTGGGCTATCTGCAGTGTTCTCCTTCTTTGACCCTGGCACCCACTTCAGCTCTTCCAGTCCGCTTTGGTTAGAGACGACAGACCCCAGGGAGATGCACCAACCCTCTGGAAGCCCTAAAAGGGCCTTGCTGTACCCAGAGTCAAATCTATCGCAGGACTTCAAACCAGTGTCTAGAACAGCTTGATAGAAAACCTTCCGTGATACATCCATGAGAGGAAGAGAAAAGACAAGAAACGCATTCTGTGTGCAGGTGGACCTAACCGTGGAATTCCTTAAACTTGGCTGTGTCCAGGGTTCACTCACCCCATCACAGTCTGTACCCAAGGTGTGTGCTGCTTTGGTAGTAGCAGTGGAGTTCAGCTGCATTCTTCCCAGGCCCTCAGCAGCCAATTAGACTGTTTAAGTGCAGTTAATCCACTGAAGTTTTTCTCCATACAGAAAGGGAACAAGCTGTGTTAGAGTGTGATATACTTTTTATCATTTCCATGTTAAACGGTTTGTTGTTGCAACTTATAACTGTGAAGACCTTGCATCTGTAAAGTAGTTTTGTGAAGTGTAGCAATATTAGCACTATTAAGAAAAACAGAAATTGACAGATTTCCACAGAGAAAACTCTTTGTTTTATATAATCTGCAGTAGTGCCAGGTACCTTATAGCCCATCTGTTCCATAATTTCTCTGTGGTACCAGTAACAAGTCCCATTGCTGTGCTCAGTGCTGGCAGAAGTGTAGGTCTCTTCAAAATGACTTTTTACAGAACAGCAGGTTCTGAGATCTCAGAGGTAACAGAGCAAGGGAAGGAAATGGATTAGTAAGAGTGGCTGAAGAACCTCTCCCAGTACTCACCTGTACCCCAGCAGCAGTCAGCACCTCTAAGTCGCTCAGCCCACACTTTTTCTATGGCTTTTTGCAAAGGTGCAAAGCATTTTTCAGTGCTTGCTGTGTGCCCTCCAAGAGCCGTTCTGCATGGGATATTTGAAGGCAGGGATACCTTCTTCGAAGAAGAACTTCTGTGCTCTGAAAATGCACTCTATTAACCTGTTTCCTTAACCTGCTCTGTTCAGCTTCTGTGCAGGTTTTAGAAGGTAGCCATGGTATTTCTTCCCTGTGTGTTTACAAGAGAGCATGCCATAGAGTTTGCTGCTACTGTGATCTGAGCTGAATAGGGAAGAGCAAGAAAGTAGGTGTTGCAGGTATGGGTATCTGGGACTGGTAATTATTTTTCACAAAAGACTGAAAAATGTATTTTAAGGTTGGCTAAAAGTTGATGCAGTGGTTGAAGAGTTTGTATTGGCCGCAGCCTATGGAGACATTCATTTTCAGGCCTTTAATACAGATTAAACGAATGCATACGAGATACTGAGAGCAACTTCAGCCACTCCTGCCAGTCCTCGCTGTGGTAAGGGACTTCCCTCTGGAGCCTGCAGAGGTCTCCCAGGCCTCCGAGGCTGGATGAGTTGTTGCGTAGATTAACTCTATGCAATTTTTTTTGCCTTATCTTCATAGTATATTTATTACTATGAGCTTATCTGTTCCTGCTGCTTGCTTTTTTGTAATACAAATAAAATTAAACTGGATCTTTTCCATGTGCTGCGAAAGAAAAGGATCTGAAAAGAAGCTGTGCCTTTTGGGGCAGTATCTCCTTAGGCCTGCTGGCAAAACAGCTAGCATGTTAGAAATGAACACTGCTACGCAGCAGTGTCAAGCAGTAAGTGGGGCTAGCAAAGATGGAAGCTGTAAGCAAATTCAAGGCAAGGCTTTTTGTATTTCTGGACATGTGGCCTGGCAAACAAAGGGAGAATGCTGCTGCTGTAGTATCCAGTGAAAGCTTGCTTAAATCATTGAAACACAATGTGTGAGCAGTTGTCTTTGATCATCGTGTGGATGTTTTCATTCAAACACAGCCACTCCTGAGCGGGTGGCTGCTGAGTACTTTTCCCAGGTAGCTGATTTGTTTGCCTGCCATGCCTGTGAGCTTTGGGAACTCCAGAGCTGTCATGTGCCGAGCACCTGCACGCTGACAAGCTGTCCTTACTGCAGAAGGCTGGAACCTTGTGCCCTTCTCCAACAAGCAGCTATGGAGGTACTCGGCCAGCCCCATTCATTTTGGCAGTGTGCTCTGTCAGGAAGCTGAGCTTATGGGGTGTTTGCAGCACTGTGCCATGGCAAAATAGACATATCAGGGAAAGGTGGCTGCCTTAAAACTGGCCAACAGGCCCAAATTCTACTGTGTCTGATTGAGGCCAGGATTTCACCTCCTTTTTTTGACTGACTGGTTTACAAAAAAAACCTCCACCCCGCCCCCCCGATTTTTTGTGTCTCACTGGGAGCCTACCCATCACTTGGGACACTTTGAAGGTATGATCTTGTACGCAGAGTTTGTGCAGGGGATGTTTCAAGAGAGGCTGGGGGCCCTCTTCATATAGCTCTTGTACATATTGCATACTTTTCTGGTGTGTTTTTGTAGAGGTAGGACATCTAAATCAGTTCATGAGCAGCACACTGCTGATTCAGGTTGAGGACTGGGGATGATCCTTGACTTCTGAGGAGTCATTTTGCAGTACTGCTTTCTCTTGTAACCATGCAGACTTTATGTCAGGGTGTTTTCTTTATTTGCCGGATGTCTTCATCTTGGGCAGTAGTAGTGGTGGCCGGTACTAGCTCTGTGTCTGTGATGTTAGCTCCTGCAGCATTTAGTGGTACATATCAGTGTGCTGTGCACATTTGTGGTGGTGGGTCACAGAGCAGCAGACAGGAGTGCCATCAGTTGCCCCTGTTGTTGTCCTGCTCAGGGAGGAGCTGCAAAGGCAACTAGCTGCAAAGGGGATGTGTGACCCATCTGCCAAGGAGGTTTCTGAAGCCTGATTGCCATTTGTGATTTTTCAAAAACGCCCCTGGTAGCGTTGTCTTTTGTCTTGAGGTATGTAGAAGCTACACAGGCAGGGCGGACCAATAGGCTCTTAATCGCTGGGATGGCAGAACATGGTGTTGTGCAGAAGGTAATGGTGCTGTCATCCAAGAGGCAGATGTGTGGAAACAACACTTCTGC